CTGGCCTTTTTATTTTGTGGATTCTTTGGGATATGCTACACAAACCATCATCTTGTCTGAGAGGAGAGTGAGTTTTCATTCTTTCTTTCCAGTATATACATTTTATTTATTTTTCTTCTCTATTTTATTACCTAAGACCTCCAGTAGAACAATGATAGGAGTGAAAGAGCAGGTAATGTCTTAGTCTTATTCCCAATTTTAGGGGGAAGGCACTCAAAGTATTCATCATTAAGTATGGTAATTGTTAGCTGTAGATTTTGTGCAGATGCTCTCTGTCAAGTTGAGGAAGTTCCTATCTATTCCTAATTCTCTGAGAGTTTTTAAAAATTTATTGTTATAATGGAAGGATGTTAAAATTTTCTGTAGGCTTTTTCTCCATTGGTTGAAATAACAAGTTTTTTTCCCCCTTTAATCTGTTGATAATGATGAATTACAATGATTGATATTCAAATGTTGAACTAGGCTTACATTCCTGTGATAAACCTTACTTGGTCATGATGTGTTATCCTTTCTGTATATTGCTGGATTTTATTTTTATTTTGTAGAAGATCCTTGTGCCTGTGCTCTTGATGGATACTGGTCTATACAGTTTTCTTATAATGTCTTTGATTGATTTGGGTGGCAAGTTAATATTGCCTTTGTAAAATGAGTTAGGAATTGATCCTTCCACATTTTTATTCTAGAGGAATTTATATAGAATTAATATTATTTTTTCTGAAATTATTTGGTAGAATTCACTAGTGAGGCCATCTAGTTTTGGTTTTTTTTCTTTTCTTCTTTTTTTAGGTTTTTAACTACAAATTCAATGTAGGCATGAGCTTTGACAGTTTGTGTCTTTCAAAGAACTGGAGCATTTCATCCCATTTGTCAAATTTACGGGCAGAGAGTTGTTCATAGTATCTTCTTACTAGCTTTTTAAATGACTCAGGCTCTCTAATAATGCCTGTCTTTCTTTTGTGATGTTTGTAATTTGTCTTCTCTCTCTCCCCTCTTGTTCTCCGGCTAGAAGTTTATTAATCTTGATCCTTCCAAAGAACCTGCTCTCAGTTCCCTTGATTCTTTTCTATTGTTTTTCTGTTCACAATTTTTAGAAGGCAGCCATGCTCACCATCATATCACAAACGCACTCAGCACAATTTCTTAATTATTTCTTTTATTTTACTTCATTTTCCAGTTTCTTAAAGTGGAAATTTAGATCATTGATTTGAGACCTTTTTAAATGTAATCATTTAATGCTATAAATGTTCCTCTAAGCCCTGCTTTTGCTGCATTCTACAAGTTTTGACATATTATCATTTTCACTTAGTTCAAATTATTTTCTAATTTCCCTTAAGACTTTTCCTCTTTCATCCATGGGCTATTTAAGAGCATATTGTTTAATTTCCAGATATTCAGCAATCTCCATATACTTTTATGTTAGTGATTTCTAGTTTAATTCCATTATAGTCTGAGGACATATTTTGTATGATTCTTTGACATTTGTATTCTGCCATTTTGGGCAGAATGTTTGATAAGTATCAGGTAGGTTAACTTGTTGGATAGCTGGTTTTAAACTGGTTTTCTACCTATTTGACTACTAAGGGAGGTGCACTGAAGTCTCACAACTCTATTGTGGATTTGCCTATTTCTCCTTTCCATTATATTGTTTTTTACTTCATATATTTTGAACCTCAGTTTTTGGTTGCATACACATTTAGGATTCCTAGGTCTTCTTGGTGAACTGACTCCTTTATTATTATTGAATGTCCCTTTTTATCTTTGGTAATGTCCCTTGTCTAAAGTTTACTTAGACTACATTTTTAAAAATTTCCATGATAAGTAAATTTGTAAGAGTAGACTCTTGGAATTACTAGTAATACTAAAAACTTATTTCGATTTATATTTTCTTTAGGTTGGGACATTAAGATTTTGTGGAACAACTGAATTTGCAAATGGGCAGTGGGCTGGCATTGAATTAGATGAACCAGAAGGAAAAAACAATGGAAGTGTTGGAAAAGTCCAATATTTTAAGTGCGCCCCCAAATATGGTAAGGCGGATATTATTTAACCGATAAGAATTCATTAAAAATAAGTTTTACTCTCTCACAGTCTTTATATAAAACTTTTCTCCTGGTTACTTAGGTAATAAGTGAGGGCTGTGTGGATTTGGGGAGGACTTTTGAAGATAGGAAATAGTTATAGCATGTTTACACTGATGGGACTCAAATAAGAGAGGGAGAAATCGATGTTGGAAGAACAAAAGAAGACAATTGCAGGAAGAATGTTCTTAAGAAGTTAAGAGAGAAATGGGATTCAGTATAAGGGTTAACCTTGTGTTAGATCAGACACAGAGGAGAGAGTGGAGAGGTAGTGGGAAGGTGAGGTAATTGCATTGTTTCTATTTTCTCAGAAAAGGAAGTGAGGTCATCAGTTGATCTTAGAAGAGGGAAGGATGGTTGGAGGTTTGAGGAGAGAGAAGGTGTGAAGTAGTCATCTAGGAGAGTGAGAATGTGAGTAGTGCAGGGGAAACATAGCAGACAGCCAGGCAGTGCTGAGGACCCGTCTGGGATGTGTGGTCATGGGCTCTGAGTGAGACCAGGGTACACAGGTGGCATCAGGTGCCCATCTTCAGTCTTATTACACGCTTGGGGACAGGTACTGAGTAAGGCAAGAGCTGGATTTCACTGGGGTTAGATTTTTTTCTAGAACATACTAGAGAAGGAACGAGGCAAAGGAATTAAGGATGTATGCAAGGGAGTGATTAGATGAGAGGATTGTGGAGTCTCAGCTAGTTAGGGAGGAAGGTGAGGACAAGATGGGGGAGATGGGCTGTAAGAAAATGGTCAGAATTTGCAGTTCTGAGGAGGTGAAGCTGAATGTGGGTGCTGGAGCAGGGCACTGGTGTGGCAGGAGACCGTAGGTGCTCTGGCGGGAATTCTGGAGTAGGGAGGTCATGATCACAGGGCACTGGTGTGGCAGGAGACCGTAGGTACTCTGGCGGGAATTCTGGAGTAGGGAGGTCATGATCACAGGGCACTGGTATGGCAGGAGACCGTAGGTGCTCTGGTGGGAATTCTGGAGTAGGGAGGTCATGATCAGCCTGCTGGGCAGGGATAGAGGGAAAGCTCACTGGAAGTGAAGCACTTACACAGAGCTGGCATCCAGGGTGTTAGGCGGCTGTCTGGGTAGGCGGTGAAGTCACGTTGAGTGCAGACAGGAGGCGTGAAGGAGGCGAAGGCAGGGAGCCAGCTAGTGGCAGAGGTGTTTACTGAATGAGTGAGTAGCAGGGACTCCAACCTGAGTAGGTGGCTTCCAAAAGAGGAGGTGGTGGATAGAGCAGTCTGATGGTGTGTGCCTCAGACAGGCTTGCTCTCTCTCACTCTGCTTCCCTCTCTCTCTCTCTCCTCTCTTACAATTAAATGTTATGAAAATGCCTGTGATGGCAAAAACAAACAAAATGACCACTTCACCCTCTGGTGGCTAGTGTTAGGGGGTGGCGTGGGACACATGGCAGTGCTTCAGGGAAGTGGCATCTTCAGTAGAGAGCCAGCTTTCAGCTCCCAGAGAAAGGCAGAGAAGCACTCACAGAGCAGGGATGTGACTGATGTGAGACCACAAGTTTCCAAGGCCATGCTACAAAGATTTAGGGAGGGTTGGGTTATTGGGTCAGGTTAGTGGATTCAAGGGAACAGTTGACAGGAGTCTTGGCATCTGATAGTGACTGGGATTGTCTTGATGGTCTTTTGGGGAAGTGTTTTTCCTTGCAGTTGGTCTCTTGGGTGGATTTTAGTGGGGGACGGTGATGATAGTGATGATAGAGCAGGATGCTCTCATCGGTGAAGTATGAGCTGGGGGCTGGCCTTGATCCTTGCCCTGTAGAGCTCCCTGAAATCCTCCTGGTGGTGGCTGAGGGAAGGCCTCTGTTATTGTGGAAATACAGAGTCTGCAGGTCATAAGAACTTGAGGAATTGGAAAAGCAAGTAAGGGCAACTGTATAACTGTACTGAGCAGGGATGATTCTTTCTCTTGCTGATAAATGCTTAATCACATTCACACACACATACCTATTCTGCATATTGATTTCAGTTTGATTTCTTAGTCACTTCCCTATTGTGTGGGTATTTTTACTTGTGTTGAAATATTCTCCATGACATTATTTTTCATGATTTCACAGTATTTTATCTCATAGCCTGATGGGGAGGCTGTGTCAGGTAGTGATGAAGGGTGGACTTGGGAGTTTGACTGCTTGGATGTGAACCAGCTTCTCTGCCTGCCAGCATCAGGCCTTTGTCTCCTCATGCCTCAGAATATCCTCTGTAAAATAGGATAAGACTTTCAAGAGAACTCATGCATGTATTCCCTGTGTTGATAAATATGTGATGCAC